ATGGCAAGTTATAGATCTAGTTTTAGTCCTGTTGATAATTAACTCAGTATTTACATTTTAGAGGTAGATATCTTCTCACATTTGTAAAAGAGTAACCGGAACGTTTCTTCCGTTGGGTTCCGTTATCGTTAGTTAGCCGAACAATTAGCCAACACCAGCTAACAGTCCTCTAATGTGACATGTTCCTTCTTTCTTTCTTTCTTTCTTTCTTTCTTTTTAAGCTCTTAACGTCGTTAATGGTCGTTGTTTAATCTACACTAACCTCACCGTGATACCCCTCAAAAGCACAGGCAGTGACATAAATACTCAGTAGCATAATAAGCAACATAATTGATGAATTTTCTTGTTATCGTGTCCTCGAGAGACGCTTTTTGACGCTAAGTTAGCGAGTTGACTTTGTAGTTCTGCGTTGTTGTTCTCACATATACCGCCTTTTTCTTTCTTTTCCTTCAGTTGGAGCACGTTGGAGGGTACTTTAAGTCCGCTGTGTTTATCGGGAGCCCACATACAACAGTAAACCATGCCTACGGTGGTCTTAATGGACGTGTCTCTGTCCATGACTCGGCCAGTGGCTCAGGATGGCAGCGAGGAGTTTCAGAGGAAAAACCTGGCTGTCCACGGACTGAACATGTTGTTTGAACACATGGCGTCAAACTACCGCATGGAGTTCACAACGCTGATGGCTTTCTCTTCCCTCTGGGAGCTCTTGGTGCCTTTTACCAGAGACTACAATGCATTACAGGTGTGTTGCACAAGTGTGCGTGTTTTCTTGAGGGTCAAACTCAAGCAGTGGAAAGGAGTACGAGTTTGGAGAAGAGTTGGACATGATCTATTTAATGTCTTTTCTGTACAGGAGGCTCTGAGCAACCTGGAAGACTATGACAAGACCTGTGTTGAATCCGCCCTTCAAGGGGTTAGTAACGTGGTACAGCAGGAGTGGGGCAGTGCCTGTCCCTGTCAGGTATTTTGAGTCCTTTTTATACAGTGTCAGTTTAGTATTAATTAGATAAAGATGGTGGTGTATGGTCAAATCATGTTTTCATAGTGATTCCAGCAAGCGATGCCCGTTTATTGTTACACAGGCTTATGTTTTTGTGTCTCCTTCCTTTGTCCTGTAGATGGTAATGGTTACGGATGGATCTCTTGGTATTGGAAAGGGTTCCCTACGTCACTCCCTGCAAACACTGAAGCAGCGTGGGGATGACAAGAAGTTCCCACTCCCTTTCCCTTTCCCCACCAAACTGTTCATCATGTGTGTAGCCAATGCAGAGGAGGTACTGAGTCACCGTTTTTTGCTGACTGTTCAACAATTAATTAATAGGTTGTGCATGATTTAAGTACTCAACATGTCTAAATTATTAAAGCAGAGAGAGATTGAAGTCAGTGTTTGACCTGGGGAAAGGATGAGTGTATTATTTTATTTGTCACTTGTCTGGTGTGACCAGGAAGTTTCTGTTGCTTCCATGTCAAGCTAATGGTAAATCAGTGCTTGTAATAGATTTGTTAGCTGCAACAAATGCAACCCCCTGTTTTGTGTAATTACAGTTACAGATGACTGACGCCATGGACAACTTGGAAGAACTGCTTCGTCTCAGTGGAGGGGATGGACAGATCTTCACTATGGAGGGGGCACTTTGCATGAAGAGTGTACAGGCCATGTTTGGGTATGACCCTTACTGGGGGAATAATCCAGGAGAAAAAATTACTTTTCCATGTTTTTGTAGGTACTAAGGAACCGTGGCTATTGTATGTCTCTGTATGTCTTTAGGAGGTTGATTGATCACGCGTACTCTCCCTTCCACGCCGTCCTGCATTGTGGGAACCTGTCGTCAGACGTTCAGGTGTTCCCTCGACCTGAGCCTGTTGTGATGGATGAAGAAGTGGAGCCCATGCCCCGAGCAGTCAGCACAGGTATCCAGCTGTCTTTTAAATTGAATGATTTAAAGTTAGATTGAAACTATTTTTTTTCCCCCTTTAACACATCTTCATTCTTTTATACTTGTTTCAGATTTGGAAATTGTGGGCTTCATTGAAATTGGTGACATTTCCAGTCCTCCTGTTATATCCAGACACTTGGTACTGCCTATTGCTGTAAACAAAGGTTAGTGCTGGAAATGTGTGGTGTTGTTCTAAAGCAAAACTATAGTGTACATGTGTAGACAAATGAGTTGTACAACCTGCCCAGGCCTTGTTGCTTTTTGTTTAACTGATTTTCTCAGAAAATGTCCAGATTTTCTTCAAAGGAGCAGATCGTTTTAAACTGATTTTCACCTGCACTGCACTGTCCCCACACTTAAAAAGTTGTTCCCTACTTCAACACTACTGTCTTTTTGCAACAAGGATGGCTTCCAGTAAATCAGATTAAAGGGAAATAGGTAACAAATGCAAACAAAAGTGTTTGTAATGCAAATAATATTTTTAAAATAGCATTTTTACATAGATAATGGTCACCTTTTATATTCAAAGTAAGCACATTTTTAAAATATAAAAATGTATGAGCCCTCAGTATGCCACATGTCAGATAGGGTTAGTGATGGTATGATCAATGTTTTTCTTTTAATTTGTTCTTGATTTCAGAGGTGGATGAAGTTGGCGCAGGAGCCACAGATGAGCTTGAGGAGGAACCCTCTGCCAGTCAAATGGCAGGCAAAAGTCCCAATTTTTGCGTACTTTTACATGGCAGTCTTAAAGTTGAGGGCATGGTGGCACTGGTCCAGCTGGGGTGAGATGCAACAGAATTCAATTTAAATTTATTCTAATTATTAGGATTTAATCAATTTATTAAAATATTTTATGAAGAAATTGCCTAAATCAAGCTTACTCTTCCTCAGGCCAGAGTGGTATGGCATGCTGTACTCCCAAGCAGACAGCAAGAAGAAATCAAACCTGATGATGTCTCTGTTTGACCCTGGTCCAGAGCCTCTGCCTTGGCTGGGCAAGATCTCACATTTGGGACCAATATCAGGTAACTCCTCGCCCCTTCATTGTGTCAGGTGTCGTTGCAGACACATAACAAACATACTGTTTAAGTCTTTGCTAGTTCCTAATTCCTGAAGGCATAATTTTAATAGTATGACATTTTTGGGATATTGTTATATGTAACCTATGTACAGATTGTTTATTCCTGCTGAGCAATGTATGTGTACATAAGCACTTAATAATTTACAGAGTTGGGTTGCTTTGATTGTGATACTGACTGTACTCTGTTTGATTCACTGTCTGGTATTTCAGAGGCTGCTGAAAATCCCTATGGAGAGGATGACAGTAAAAGTCCTTTCCCCGTGCAGCCCTCGGTCAAACGCAGCTATGCCCAGAACGTCACTGTGTGGATTAAAGCCAGTGGACTACAGGTACACTGTATTATGGCACTGTTGTTTGTTGAAGTCATATATACTAACAGTGGAATGGAACTGGGTTAATGCTTACTGATGATGATGTTCAAGTCATATGGTCATACGGTTTTGTAGAAACCAAACAAATGTGGACACCTCACAGCAGCTAAAGTCCGTAATTCAGTGCAATTAAACCTAACTTCAATGGATATGGTGTTAAATGGTTGAAGCACAGTATTTTAACCCTCACACACAACTGTACAACCGTCCTGATCCAAAAATGATGTGAACGCTCGTAATTTATCGTGGGAATCTTTCACATCTGTGAATGTGGTATGAGGCTGTGTGGTTACTGAGGTATGTACCGTTAAGAGCCTTAGCCATGTTTTCCTGTTTCTGTTGGTTCTGTTAACATGTTACCATGAATATTGAGTCAATATTGAACATTTTTGGGGGGTCATTTATGCTTATGTTATTTCATTATACAGACTGATGTGCAGAAGATCCTGAGGAATGCAAGGAAACTGCCAGATAAAACTCAAACCTTCTATAAGGTAATTTCTTAAAGTAACTATTAACTAGAATATTGATGTTTTGATCATTTAAAATTACTCATTTGATTGTTTGAATCTGTCAGGAACTTAACCGGCTTAGGAAGGCTGCCTTGGCGTTCGGTTTCTGGGAGCTCCTGAAAGGAGTGGCTGATCTGCTGGAGAGAGAGTGCACCCTGCTGCCAGACTCGGCCCATCCGGATGCTGCTTTCCAGCTGTCCCATGCCGCACAGCAACTCAAACTGGCCAGCACTGGTGACTCCCAGTATGCTGCTTTTGATCACAACATTGTTCCCATGCACACTGACTTCTCAAGCTGAGCCACATCTGAAATTTGTAATAGACTAAAATACAGCAGCCCCAGCCTGTGTGGACCAAGGTGGAGAACTGTGTGTGCTGAATGTTCATCATCAAAGGAGCTGCTTCAATAACCTTCATGTGGAACCTAAATGAGTCCAATTGATACTCCTTCTTTGACACTGCCTGAACATGGCAAAACATACATTACATGTTTGAAAGATGTTCATGTGTACATAGTTTTTTTTAAACATGTTCCTTTGTAGGATATTTTTCACAAATTAACCAGATTTAAGTTTCATTTTTATTCACTGTCAAATAACAGGAGCCTTAGGAAATTGTGACAAAGTAATGAAACAGTAAAATGAGGAAGGGATATAAATATAACTTTTTTCATAGGTCATTGTTGAGCATAGGGGCACAACATGTTCTCTGTATTTTAGCAGTAGCCCTGAGGTTGGTGGAACGGTTCAGAAATCTGGAATAATATACAGTATTTGTTGAGAAAGTTGCAGATATCTTCATTCATACATAAATTATCAAACAAAGATTAAAAGGAAAAAAGAACACAGTATGCTTATTACAGCTCTTCACTAATACTTACTTATCTCTTACAGACTAATGTCTAAGAGAACTCAATGACCAGTAAATAAGAGTGTAAATGCAATGATGAAATACTGAGTCATCTGTAGGGTGTTCATGTTAACCACAATTGAAATTATTTTAGTGAGGAAAAATAACCTCTTAACGAAAACAACAACTGATTTGACTGAAGCATGGTTTATGAGGAATTGTCTTGAAAGAAGAAATAAGCAGGCAGCAAAGGTGTTTGAGTGTTGTTTGTGTTGAATCTCAATTTGCTTTCCTCTTCTTGGTACGGAAACGCCTCTTCCTCTGCTTGTAAAGATGGCGGAAGTTGATAAAAAGCCCTGAAGTGGGGGAAGGAACCAAAAGGTTGATATTATAACATAGCGTACGTTCAGAAGTCTAAATATATGTATGACTCATGTTTTTATCTTCACACTTACCCAGAAACATGAGAACAAGATAGATGTGCAGGAAGTAAGAGAAGCCGATAGAGGTGCCGATGGCTTTTGGCAGAGGAATGCTGAAGAGTTTGGTCTCATCAAAGATTGGAATCGATTGTATCACGGCAACGGCTACATGGGGTTTGGAGACAAGATTCATTTTGGTACTTGTGTGTGAAGAATAATCATTAATGGATTGAGAGAAGTAAACAAGCTCACCTTCAGCTATAACACCTAACGGGTACAGTGGTATCCAGATTGTGTACCGCAGCCAGGTCAGAGTTTTCCACTCTGTGTTGAAACAGCCCAGCATGTAGAACGGATACCTGAAATGAGTGCATCATGTAAGTTTTCACTAAGACTCACCTGGCATGTTGCTATTAATCAACTGATACAAGGCAACCATTAACAGCCCATCCTGAAAACAATGTAGCTTAAATGACCTGCTCTTGTTTTGATTCTTTTAATGCCAATTGCTGCACCCGTCTGCTGCTTGGTACAAGTTAACTTGAAACCTTTTGTCTGTTAAATTGGGTCTTCAGTTATTCTTGAAGTGATGATGCTGCACTTAACGGATTTGCATTACGGCATTTTACTGACAGCGTGCTTAGGTCAACAGTTAATGCCACCGATGCCATACTGCAACCGTTTGCTGTTGGGCTAAAACAAACTATTAATTTCAAAATTGATGAATCTGCTGATTATTCTCCCAACTAATTGTTTAGTCTTTAAAACAGTGACAAGCACAGTCTTGTGCTCTAGGACATTGTGGTAGACATTTTACACTGTAAATGTCTATCACAATGTCAGAGAGCACAAAGTGATGCCATTAAATGTCTTGTTTTGTCCGAACAACAGTCCATAACCCAAAATATTCAATTTACTTAATTAAAAGCTAAGACAATTCTCAAATTTGTGAAGTTGAAACCATCAGATGTTTGGCTTTTTTTTTTGCTTAAAAAAAACGACAGTGGCTATAATTAAGATAGGAAGTACAATAATCTCATGTAAGTGCACTTATAAAAAGTCCACAAGTCAGCAGAAACCTATGTCTTTACTAAGTCCATTTGCATGACTATTCACCATAAATGCAAATGCATATTTACCTAAAAATCTCAATGGCGCTCCACAGATAGAACACGAAGAACACAACTGGCCGGTTGTGCATTTCCTCCAAACTGCCGAAAATGATGAAGAGGATAAAATTCCTTCCAACCACCTAGTAAAAGAACAAGAACACTTATTAACAAATTAGTACTTACACTATGTATGTATTGCATTTCTGTCATTGTGCAAAGCAGGTGTCACTGGACATCATGAAATTCAAACTCGGGCAAATGAGCATCCCACACCTGTATAAGAGTTGGAATAACACCTGTCCGGACTACACCAAAAGCAGCGTTGAGGACCTCTACTGCTGCCAGGATCTGGCAGAAGAACATCACATCCGAAATGGTGTGAAATGTGTCGTAGAGAGAATCTGAAGTGAGAGTAGCGTCATAAATATTCGGTCTTACCAGGTTTTTATGAAGAAACTGATCAATGAAACTTTGAAGCCACAACAGTCTTATATTTACTCACCTTGGCCAAAGATAAAGAGCCGCACTGTCATGTTGACAAAGATCCATGAAAAACCAAGAAACTGTACAAGGTTGTATACAAACAAAAATCCAGTTTTCAGGCTGACAAACCCTGAAACATTTGAAAGAAAGAAAGAAAAATCATTGAGGCAACCGATGAGACTTTAGAGAAACAGGCATTCATCCAGGCAGTTCACTCACCTTCCTCTTTATGCCTTGAAGCCTTCAGCCGGTTCCTTTTCTCCTCCTTTTCCAGGTAAAAAAATATATTTGTTCATGACACTCAATACACGCAATATTGACTTCAACACAACAGATGCACAGGGTTGTACGTTAATATGCTTCACTGATGTAAATATTTATTTCACCTTTTCCCGGATCTCCATTTCAGCGTCTGACTCGTCCAGCCAGCTGTCAAAGTCAGGTGCCAGGAAGACTGGTTTGCGCTCCTGTACCACCAATCTTTCCCACCAGCCTCGCTGCTCTTTCCGCACTGTAATATTCACCTGCCGCTGTGTGGACCTGTGGGTCACCTGGACACACACACGTTCATTTAATGAGCAGCACAGTCAGCAAAGCTAGAAGACATTAAGTATGAAAGTAACTGTGGTCATATGGGACTAATATTAAAATGTATACATACCTCTGGCTTTACTGGTGAAAGAAACTCCAAGTTGAACTCATATTCATTTAGTCCTTTTGCACCATGGCCCCGGGCTACACACAAAATACCATAAAAATATGTTACACATCAGGAACTTTTAGAAATATTTCCATAGTTAAATGAACATGAAATGTATATTACCTCTGACTGAAGCACCTTTTCATGTACATGGACATCAATATTCTGCAAAAAGAAACAACTAATGAGCAGATGATGAAGCATACATCCTCCCAGTGTGAGTATTTAAGCAGCATATTACTGTTAAACTGTTAAATAAAACATTTTAAATTACTGATTAAATTAGACCTAATAACAACTAAGACTACCACTAACAATCTTATATCCATCAACAATAGTGACATTACCAGCCAGTAACAATGTCCTTGTTTTGAAGAAACTCAACACGGAAATGAGCGCTTTCACAAAACCTCCACCCTGAAATCAACTTTTGTTCCATGATACTGTATATAGAAGTAAATAAAAGAGGGCAAAAAGAGGGCAAAAGAGGCTCCCTTCCTGCAGCCCAGATCCGGTCAAAGGTGCACCTGGGTGATGCAACACACACAGTAACCCCTGCTAACCTCACCTATGGGGGAGGTGATAATGTTAACTCCACCGTTGCAATTCAAGTAGTGCCGAGGGGTAATTACAACCACACACATTTTTCTTAAACAATGGGATTCTTTATTAATAATAAAAATAAAAACAGCTTTCCTAGAATCAGGGGACACAGGGGGCTTTGTGAATATCCTCTAGTTATCAAAATGACTCCTCAGTTTATCACCAGATATGCAAATTGTACAGCAACCCATCGATGTGGCATTTACAAGGACCTGCACCCTTCATTTGCATTATTTAACAAGCAGAGGCGGTTGTGTTGCCCCACAGCCGGGTCCTGTCCACCCTCCTGTGAGCCTCACCTGAGCGGGTCTGTCAGCTCCCACTCCGCAGGTAGATTTCTTCATGGCGTTGAGCCAGTAAACGAGCGGTGTGAGAGTCATCGTTCCGTTTCCCTGGAGCTTCTTGTCTCAAACAAATATCACGACGGCTCGGACAATGAATGAAGCCGCCTCGCTTCATGCTAACGTTAGCTTCCGCTTCAAAGCTGCAGCTCAATTACCCAGAATGTTCTGCGAAAAGCGCGCTCCCGCCTGTCCGTCCGCGCAGCGACGTGCTCGTGCTAAAGGGAGCCGCTGGTTGTGCTCTCCTCTGATTGCTGGGCGGGTGAATATTTACGAAGTAGTCAGTTTAAGCGGATTAGAGGGAGCGCCACACGGCAGTTATTCGACTGGTCTTGGTGACATACTAATATGCAGACAGACGATCATGGTTCTGGTCTAAGACATTTCGTGTTCTTGTTGGGTGGTGACGGGAAGCGTTGCAGCCTGAAACTGCCTCTTTTGGTCCCCCAGCTCCTTCAGTCCCGTAAGGGTGAGCTGCTTTCGGATTTATTGAACTTGTATTTAGAGCCTGACTTAACCGCTTCCTTCTGTCT